CTTGATATACTTTGGAGTTTTCTAACTAGGCGTACTCCAGATAGCCCATTCAATACCAACATCTCGGAGACCATTTCGTGCGCTCTCCCTTTATTTCGTCTACGGCGAAATTAAATAGGAATGACGAAATAATGCGTCCCTGAAGAACACCGCTGTTGTTTTCGAACTATTTGCTCATCCCACCACAGACCTCCACACTACCTGAAGTATGCATGTACAGTGATTGTAATAGGTTTACATACTTCTGTAACATTCTTCTGCGAAGCAGTAAACCCATTAGAGTTTCATGGTCAACCGAATCGAAGGCTCCTTTTAGGTAAAGGAACACGGATTGTTGGTCGATGGTGTATATGGCGCATCAGCTTATGCGATCTTTATTAAGGCTTTTCCTAAGCTGTCGCTGCAGAAGCCATTGGTTTCTATGTTGGTCACGGCAGATTGTTATCTTTCATTTTTGTTCCATCAGGATTCCTGACTCATGAGAGCTGCGGTGTCTTCGACGAACTTCCACCTGGGACCCACAAGAAAAGTTCGCTGCCGAATGCATTGCACATCTGATTTGGTCCCACTGTTGATCTACTTCACCATCTCGCAACGTTCCTAGCTCATGTCCAAGCTTTCCGTCATAACGTGCACAAACAGGTGGATTCCACAGACGATGCCTAACAATTTTTGACGATGAACGGTGGTGATCAGCTGGAAGTGGTTAAGAGCTTCAAGTATCTCAGGAACTTGGTCGCAGCCAGTGTTGGTGTTGGGAAGATCACATCACGAATACCGAAAGCTAGAGCAGCTTTCGCCAATCTGCGACACCTATGGCGCCGCCATGGCATCCGACTGTTCCTTAAGGGAAGAGTGTACATTGCTGCAGTTCGTAGCGTTTTACTTTACGGTTGCGAGACCTGGCCTCTCTGAGCGAAGGATGCTGATAGACTTTCTGTATTCGACCACCGATGTCCCCGAAGCATTGCTCGCGTCTGATGGGAACATCGGGTTAGTACTGATGAGGTTCGTCGTCGTGCATTGGGTGTGAATAGTCGCTCTCTAGCATAAGTAATCGCTCTACACCGTTTCATCATTATCGTGCAGCGAAATACAAGGAAGCGAACTTCACTGATGCTGCCAAACTCGCAATGCATATGCATTGGGGTTTGATGGACAAATGCTGCTAGGGTGTCCAGCCACCAAGCAAGAGAACGATTAGGGTTCTCAACCGAAGCCTTTAGTTCTGATATGAACATGGCCGCAAAGCAGCAGGTGAAGTGAAGTGGAGGCCCATTTACTTGGATCAATTACTCCTCCATTTTTACCGACTGAAGGGCAAATTTTAGTCGAACCCCCAACGTGGAGGATCAAGAGACTGGACTTCATCCGACCTCTAACCTACGACCTTCCAGGGCTAATTAGATCTTCGGCTTGACAAAAGTCATCCTGTGTAGCTCATTGGTTCAGAGGTGCACAAGCTATCACACCACGTCAGGGTTCAGTCTCGCGGTGATGGCCTACACCGTCTCCGGTGGCTTGGTCACGTATTACGTGTACCTGCCCATCGACTTCCTTTCCGTGCTTTCTTTGCAGGTTCCGGGTAATGCTGGAAGAAGCGCCGCGGTAGTCAGACTATGACATAGCGTAGAGGTATGATGAAGCTGGCTTCAGTTGGTGCAGCCCGCGTTCCAGGTTGGCGCCCAAAGGATGAAGTTTGTCGCTGGTTTGATACGCTGAGAGATATGGCCCAGAATGGAGGTCAGTGGTGTGAATGCTGTACGGTCTGCCTGTTGAAGTCCCGTTCCCCGTAAAAAACAATGAATTACCACACAAAAAATTCAAAGTGTCCGGTGAAACAAAGATTTGTTATGGCAGTTATCTACAATACAAATAGTGCGTGATTAGACTCAATACAGGTAGTCCAATAAAATCTGCAATTTTGTGCCGATCCCTTTCAGATGATTATCGGAATAGAATACTCAATATGGTAGACGGTTGAGTGTTGTTGTCCACCAATCCTCATGAGGTATTGCAAATCAGTTCGCGTTGCCTGAGTGGACGTAAGATATTTTCATCCGTTCATCGAACTTAGCATTCTTTTTGTTAAACTTTCATCACCAGCCGAGTTAGAGTAGTGAATCGTTACTAGTGGTGAAATGACTGGCGGTAAAACGTTTACAAACATATTCCAAACTCGGCGAAGAGACTAACATGTTGATTAGGAGAATTTCACCGGCAACCCCCATAACTTCAACCAGCCGACTAGGTCATGCAGATCATTCTTAAGAACTGCCTGATTCACGTCCGACAAGATTGTACTCAATGACTTGACATCGTCGGCATTTAAAAGGCAAGGGTTATTTATTTATTTCACTTGTAGAAATAGCAACATTTAACTCTTGAATATCTCATTCTGTTTCCGTGTTATTGTCTGGATCAGATGCTTTTTCTGTGTGATGAGGTGTTTGAGCAGCGTTATATCAGTAACGTGTGAATTACTCGAAAGTCTTTCTTGGCTTAAACTCGGTCTACGTAGTTTGGCTCGCATGGGGTAGAGCAAACGGGTCAGTAATCTGGAGGTAAATTGTTGCATTTATATATATATATATATCACCCATCTGATGCCAGACTGTTTGCCATACAAATCATGGTACAGTGATGTTTATAATAAGAAAAAGGTTCTATGATTTGCATGCGGGATGAATACTGCCAGGTTGCCCAGGCCTAGGCAGATAAATTTTCTTGAGGAATCGACAACCGGAGCCTTCACTAGCCAAAACCTGACCGGCAAAACAGCGGGGCGGTGTTTGAAACCGCAATCCATCGGGGGCCTGTGTCCAATTCATCAAATCAGACACCCTTCGGACGGGATCAAACGTCCAAGGTGCTCAATCGAGCCGGTGACCATTGTCACAACCGGAAAGTTGTGTGGTTAATATGCCTCCCCTTGGTTAGTTTGGAATCAGGATTTTAGCCAACTCCCCTAGGCGAACTAACAGTGGTCCACCAACCCGGTTATAGCCCCGGGTGTTGGCTATTTGTCCTCTTACTTTGATGAGAAAAGACCTCGGCCACGAGAAAGCAGTGAATATGGCTTCCTCAACGGGGGCTTTTTGAGACGCTTGGTCTAATGGGAGCATTTCGCTAGGTGCAAAGGAAGGGTGACCAGTCGCAACCCTAGATACCCATCCCCGACCATACTGCAGTTAACTGTTGAGTGGTTGGAAGTTCATCCCGGATAAATTTTCTAGACCATCGAATTCAGATCAGTAGGCTTCGCTGGTTAAATATCGCGCGTACCCAACTATCGTCTACTACACCGCGCCTCGTTTACTGCAGCCACTCCGAGCTGGAGGAAATAACGCAAAGGTCGACAGATGTCGTGGAGACGAGGCTTGAAGTAATGCACAGAGCAGGTGTCTCGCCTTTCGGGTTGGGTTCCAAAAAACTGCGGACTGAAGTATTGACAGCGAACCAACAGCAGTGGCGTTTTTGTTGCCATTTCTGATCAGGTAGGATGCTAGCAAAGGTTTGTATACACAGTTGGATCATGTACTCTGTATGTTGATCATCTAGGTGCACTTACTTTCCCCTTTACTTAAAATGTACTTAATCCCTATCCGCCTTACTTTGTATGCATTGATAGTTGGCAGCGATCAGTTAGGTCCACTTCATCGTGTTTCGCTGTACGCTGATGATGAGGTCGGGACCCACAAAGCCTTGTAACAATCATGCTTGGAATAGCATAACGACCGTGTAAATTGCATGTGTTGAAGATAGTGTGGTTGTTTCGCGGGTTTTTCTTGAAGGTGGTTTACGTCATATCTCCACATTCGCTCGCTACGACTTTCTAGCAAAGTAAGCATCATTATTTATCACAATAAATGGGTGAATACCCCACGAATGTGCTAAGACAATTAAGCTTGATACCCCAGATAGACGATTATCACTGGCAGTAATAAGACAAATCCAGAATATGAAGTTTTTCCATAGCAAACTTTGGTAAACACTATCAAGGACTGGATTTAGGTTATTTTTGTAAACTGAACGTGTTTGATTTAAAAAAAGAATTGTTGGTCTCTAGTATTGTGTTTTTTAATAGTGTCAAGAGTCGCGTTTTAAACTTATTACCACCAAATTCTGGAAAACTGGTGACTGCTGTTTACATAGTGGTACATGTCTCAGTTCACACTAAAGTTCGCTAAATATTTCAGTTTCATGCAACGTGTTCTCTTGAATATCTTCCTGAAATCAGCAAGAAGCACAATGACCACATTGCTTCTTCTCACGATCAAGAAATCATTTTAAGGGATATCTTTCCCACAATAGTTGTTTTGGGTCGTGGAGCTGAATATCATTTAAACCTTCAAGTCTGAAACTATGTGGGACCTACCAATGTTCTTATTTTGGTCGTGATGGCTGAGCTTCTGGATGGTCTGTAATTCCGATGCAAATGATGTAGTCAGATTAAGGTCTTAGCAATACGTGTAATTGAGCGTCAACAGGAATTTGGTTTCCGCCACAAGACATGCTGTGTATGTTGAACTTCCGTTCGCTGTGACAATACCTTTGCAGTAGATGCTTCATAGCAAAAGAAGCCGCAAGCAGGTATGTGGAATTCTCACGCGGGCATTTGTCAGGTTGTCTTTTTGGAGCTTGGTCCCCAAAGACTCTACAAAACATAGTAGCAAGCGAATAGCGTGGATGTTCTTGTCATTTGTTTGAAACGTTGTGCATCGCCATCTTCACGGGGGAATACGCTGAATAGAATTTCGGTGATTGTTGCCGAACAGTCGGCGTGATTATGTGGATCATTCCTTTTACTTTTCATCTTGATCAAACGGCGGCTTCCTTATCCCTACTCAATCATTAGTACTTTGGAATTTGTTCAGCGAAACTGACTTCTTTTCTTCTTCGTGATATGTACAGGCGACCAGTTATTAATTAAAAAAGACTTCAGGTATCGCTTCTCTGCCCTTGAATAATATGTTTCTCGAGAACTGCGGAACTATGGAAAAATACCTCTTCCCATCTTTCCCTCAGCTTATGGCATCTTTATCTTTCAATGCAGGATTTAGTTATATTTGAATTATGGGTTTTATGTCTTTTGTCGTAGTTTCGTTTGATGAGATGAACGATATAATCAGAAAAAAATGAATATTCAAGGTGGATCTTTAGTTCGCTTGATAGGAGGGATAGGGTAAAGAAACGTGGCCAACACAAGTCAGGAACCCTACATTATTACTTGACCACAAGAATAAAGGGTTGCTGCTTCGCTGTTCAGTTTCTTTTGAATACCAACCCCTCTATGAGATGCCGCAAAATCTGCTACTGCAGTTGAATATGCTTAGATCGCGTTCGCTTCGCTTTTGACGGCTTCAGGCTCGATCGCATCGTTGGTCGTAAACAGTGAATCTATTCAGCTGGTCTTTCATTTTGTGTCCGTATCCTGGTACTGCTTATATCTCTACTTTGCGCTATCCGATCCAATCACAACCACCACGCGAAAGCGCCTCAACTACATCAGATGAGATAGTCTGGTTAGCGTCTGGCCAGCTGAACGGTTCGTTGAAGTATGCCACCCATCGGTCAACCTGTTGTTCCCTATTGTGAATAGTTTCTCCACCTTTTTTCTATATCGGAGCTTCCGCTCAACGGAATACTTTCGACCAGTTTGTTATAGAAANAATTTTCTTTTTCTGCATCCGAATCGCAGTTGGTCGTTACATACACTGAGAAGATGAACGAACATCTTTTGATGTTGCTTCCGTTCTAGACGCCAATAGAACTCTGGAACCGCATCGCACATAAGCGACTGTTGAAGCGAATCCAATCGATTAGCGACGCTTCATCTTCATTATTGAGTACAATTACTACTCCACGCTGGCCTACTGATCGGGCTTCGTCGTCACCTGATATGCAGAGGAAGAATCTCGAAGACATCCGACGCACTTAAGTGGCGTGTAGTACTAGGATCCTGAAATCGCGTCTCCAATAAGCAGCAGACATCATTCCCCAAAGTCCATTGTACTCGCCGGACACGCTTGTTGACCCACCGAATGCGCGGTATTAATGGTTGTGTGAATGGGTGGTGGTCGCGCAGTGGTTTATTCGCTGTCACGGACGTGCTTTGAACCCTGTGGTCCGAGGTTCGAGCCTCAACTTTGGTGGTAGGCAGCTTTGCTGTCGCCCGGTTCTATGCCACGCCTGACCTAGAGGGGCCTTATGTGGTTCGCCACTTCAAGTTCCGAGAATCAGATTACCTTGTACCATCACTGAACAGCAGATCTTCGTGACTGTTGGGTTTGCCCCATCTACTGTTCATCATAAACTAGTGTGTAGTAAAAAAATCAAACTGAACTGAGAAATAAGAGGATCAGAAAACTGAAATGCAATAGATCGCGATGGCCTCTTTGTAAAGGCGATCTGCGGGTCTCTGGGATACACAAGTGGGAGGATGTCGAAACCACAAATGAGACTTCCTCCAGACGGATGCTGTGATACATGATAAAAAACAAACGGATTAGTAGATTGTAGCTGCTTAAAGGGAAACAGCGTTTTATCACTGTTGAGATTAATCTGACGTTGATCACGATCAGCAGGAGAGCGAGAGAGAACAAGACCCCACCCCAGACATGGCCACACTACTCCTAGTCATTTCACCATTTCAGGTGATTATTTAAGTCGAGATGGTGCCTAGCATGGAAAATGATTGTCCTTTTATGTTAGACACGAGCCAGAGATTTTTACGGTTCCATATATGTCCACAAGGGAATCGTGTTTCGTGTTTTCTTTCAGAATAAAAGCATATTGTAGCCGGCAGATTTGAGTCTTGTCACCTGCATGATTGATTCGTCGGTCGCAGAAGCTCGTGTTCATTTTCGATTTGTCTGTACTCCTATTTCAGGACATTGCCAGGTTCCCCTCCACTTTCGGCTTTGCGCAACCATCGGTCCATCATTGCCAAAGAAGTTGGAGATAAGTGAGTTTTCTAATTTTTCCTCAACAGAAGCATGGCATTAGATAACTTCACCCACCCGTTTATTAATGTACTAATGTTTTGCCTTTGTATGTTTATCAATGTCTGCTAGTATCGAGGGGATATCTCGTACCCCTTTTGAAAGCATTCATCGTTTTCGGATGTTGCATGGTGTATGAAAACAATAAGGAAAGTCAATCAAAGTTTTCGTCCCCTGCCCTTAAGAACCTAGTAGTTGGTAAGTATTTTTTCCGTTGTATGTTTCGTTTTGCGCATGGTTACGGAGCTCATGTACACAGCTCCTTTTCATCAAAAAGATGGAGTTTCTCCTGTGTATACCACACAACTCAGCACATTGCTCACATTTTAGTAACTGGTCCATGAAATACGTCAGTTCCATAGATAGTAATTCATTCGTCAACATTTTCTCTCGTTTAGGTATCAATAATGTCATTCAGGTTTTCATCATCTCGTTCATTTTCTTCCTTGTCTCTATGGATTTTTACTTCCATAGATGTGCAACTAAGTAATTCCGAAGATCCTTACATGCGTTGTGAACTGTTCATTTTCAAGGTTACTCATTTTTCAACGGCGCTATATATGATGCGATTCAAGCAATTAATTCAAGTATACACGTTCTTCGGAGCAAGCTTACACAGCAACCACGAAAAATGTTCAAGGTAAATGTAAATGAGAGGGAAAGGATGGGGAAACAGGAACAGTTTTCATTCCTTTTCGTCTCCTAGCTTTCTGTAAAGCCCATAATTTCAACAGACATCGTTCTCTCAACTAAATTCCATACCTAACCATATACTACGTCATCGACGATCTTCATTTCTCAGACCCCAGTCAGAATGGTGGGAAGCACTAATCGAAGTTGGTTCCAAAAACGATTTAGCTGTACCCTTGCATCGATTAAACGTTTGACTACCGGCTTTTGCCCTCTCTTGCGAAAGGTAAGCAATATGCAGACACGCGAAAACTGTTTGGATCGCCCGAGGTGGTTTGGAATACTCGATTCAACGCATTTGTTAAGCCGAACATTTTATCATGCACGGGACTGCAAACGGTTGAGGTCAGACAAAGTTGAGTTTCCTGGTCCTCTGACTTACGCGTTTAACCGGAGTTGGCGTCTCAGTTTTTAAAAATGGTGGAGGAGTGATCTAACCAAGTATATAAGTCTCTATCTCGCCTTACTATTGTTTGAGAAGCCCGATAATTGTCGTGGTTAGTGATTGAAGAAGTATGTATGCGCAGTTGTATCGTGCGCTTTCGTAAAACAATCACTGTCTGAGAAGCGTGTTTTCTACTTTCCTGGCATGCATTGTGCGTTCAGTAACAATCAGTGAAGTTCGCAGCACTTTATGGCGGCCTACTGTGGTGGTAGTGGTGAAAACTTAACGCGGATGAATCCTAACATGAATTTCTCACTCGATAATCCCACCAAACTCAAATTAGACTAATGTTAGATTCGTCTTGTTGGAATTTCCTTGGTTGTTAGGTGCTTGTTTCCCTCGGGCAACAAAGTGTCATACAGATGCAGACTTCATTATCAGTCGGTATTCGGTTTATTTCACAGTGGTTTCCGTAATTAACATGTAATCCTTTCTGAGTTTCGGACGTGCCCAGTAGTTTATCTTTAGGAGATATGACGCATGCATATGCTCAGTTGTTAATTGTGTGAGGTAACCTGGAAAACGATGACGTTCATCGTTTTGTTGTTAAGGTTTGAGTTAGGAGGGGAAAGCGACGAATGATGAATTTCAGTAAATCTTTCCGGTTTAATCTGTCTTATCAGTCTTATTATTACACACCTTAGTGTGAGGAACAACAAACAACGTAAACACCTTAGTTACTAGGACCTGCTGTTCAATAATGGAAACGGGCCCCCTAAGCCCCGGGACTTGGAGTGGCCAATCAGATAAGGCCCCGTTAGGTCAGGCGTGGTAATAAACCGAACGGAAGCAAAGCTGCCCACCACCAAAGTTGGATGGTGGTCTCGGGGCTTGGACTTCGGACTCTAGGGTCCAAAGCACGCCGTTGACAGCAACTAAATCACTGCAAAATCAAAACTTATTGTATTCAGACAATCCTGGAGACCAATCAAACTCTTGGCGGTTTCTGGTCCTCACTAAGACTATGCTTGCGAAATTCCTTATCCTCTGGAGGCTATCCTACATCTACCGCAATTGTCTTTAAGCACTATTTTCAGTTTTACTAAGGGCTGTGCCTCCATCTTGTTTTTGTCATTTAAAGGAATCACTGCTGCCCCATTTAGTGGAACACACGTGGTTCACCTACGGCTTGTGAAAACAAACTACTTTTGGGACTTAATTAACCCAACTCGGACAATCGATTAGATTACGTGTGGTTAAACTGCTACATGCATACCTGGGTTCACGTTTGGGTAGATGTGCACAGTGTAAAGTCAGCTACCTTTTCCCAGTAGATAAGATTGTTGTTTCAAATTGAAATAATACCTTTGTCGATCGCTTAGGTTCCTACCTTACTCAGTTGAATTCCTGATAGTAAAATCGTTTGCATTAATTCAGGCAATCGATGGTTGACGGGATCAGTCGAGGCCTATCAGTGTGAAGATGAATTTAGAAGAACGGTCTTTCGAAATCAGGTTGAAAATTCGTTTTTTTTCTCTTCCTGGGAAATCTGTTCCAATTTCTGAAGGTTTTGTCTAGAGTGACATTAAGAAAAATAAATCACTATGCATTCTGTCCTATCTTCTTTTCCTCCCGGAGCACTCACTCCATTTTCTGTGCGGAAAAGTGCAACACATGACACTAATTCTATCTTTCTTGTTACGAAAGTAACGGTGCTTTCAGTTTGTCGCATCATATTTCAGGACTGCTTCACTTTGAAATATTTAAGATAAACTCGTCGCGTTTACATGTTCACTGAATAGCTGAAGGTTGTTTGAGCATGTTACTTCCCGGTTGCCCTGGTCGAGGAAGGGGAATAACCTCGGGGTCCCCACCCGAAGGCTCTGACCTTAAAGCCAAACCTGCAAGACAGAAGTACAGATCTCCGAGTCTGCAATCCGTTGGTAATCGGTGTCCAATTCATCTTATCGGATTTGGACGGAGTCACACGTCCGAGATGCCCCATAGCTCCGGTTTGGTTTGTACGTCTCTTCTTGGTTGGTTTGGAATCAGGCCTTTTAGCCAACTCTCTTAAGTGAACTGCCTTCGTTTCTCATCAACTCATAATGCTTGAAGAGGTGTGGATGCGTAATTGAATGTTCTGT